TTGCAAAGCTCTAAAATTTTGTCTAAAAAGTTTTGGTGTTATTGGTTTTAAGCATAGACAACAATAATTGTTTAACTCTTTTTGTCTATGTTTTAAGTGAACTCTATTTGTGAAAAGTAATATAGGATGTTGTATAATTTAAAGAATATAAATCATAATAGAAAACTAGATTTAATTTAGTTTATGTTTTTATTTCTCGAAATCAGGTTTAGTTAAAATAAAATGGCATATGAAAAAACAAACAATCACAATTATAAATCAGTAATTGTAAATAGTAACGAGATTTTAAATAGTTTGAATAATTTCAACCAACATCAGTTAAGGAATGATTGATTATTTAAGTTACCTTTGGTTAGTCTACGAAGATACAGCAATTATAAATAGTAATACAATATGATAAATTAACTTAACAATCAAATCGATTCATATTGGTTTTGAGGAATGAAGCCAAATATCGTCAAATTGATAATCCTACTAATATTATAAATGAGAAAGTTTGGATTTATGGATGTATGGATGTATGTGACAAGTGAACGCGAAAAACACTGGTCGGATTGGGCTGAAATTTGGCATGATGATAGCTCACATTCCCGATTAACATATAGGCATATTCTTATTTCAAAAATCCTTTCGGGCTCCGCCCCAGTGGCTCTGGAGTTTCCCATGTTAACCTTATGAGAAATTGAATTATTGAATCTTAACAGCTGTTTCAATTAAACAAGTTGGTTCTGTTCTATGATGTTCAATAGCATTAAAGTTACAAGGATTACCAACAGGGTGCAGCACTATTATTTCTTTTACATTTATGACAACAGCTAATTTGCAACCAAAAGGTGAGTGAGCGTAGCGAACGAACTTCAACCTGGAGGCGAGTTAGCGTAGCGAACGAGCTAACCTGAAGGCAAGTGAGCGCAGCGAACGAGCTCCAACCTAAAGGTGAGTGAGCGTAGCGAACAAACTTCAACCAGGACGTGATTGAGCCATGCGGACGAGATAATCTTGAAAATTAAGAAGTTAAACGGGGCAAAGCCCGCGGGTTACAGCTAGTATATCATACTTATAATAATTAGAGCATCATTATTCAATAATTTCCTAAAAGAAAACACATATTCATGCGAGCAACCATGTGAGATAGTTTTATAAAGCCATTCAGTGCCTTGTGTTAACTTTTATTTTTAAAATTCCATTCTGCAGTGCAACAATTTATCCTCCGCTGTAGAGTTAAATAAATAGATTTTAATTAAAACAAGGATCCACTCAAAACAAACAGAGAATTCACGTTCAAACACGTTTTCAGTTCTCAGAATGATCGACCAATAGCCAATAGCCAATAGCAAGCCGGCGTTTAACACAGAGGTGAAACGGTTTTAATGGAATAAACTGGAAAAACGTTTGGAGACAATTGGTAATTCGATCTCTACATTTCGATATATTCAACTTGATTTGTTATTCGGAATCGCAACATCGCTATCGCAGGATCCGGAATATATTTTGACTCTTGATTCTTGATTCCTTTTCAATTCAAGTGGGCACGATTCAATCACGCCGTATCGACCAATCCATTTTACTCATTCTTAAGTTAGAATAAAGTGTAAAATGAAAGTTGCATTTATTTAAGTATAACTTGTGTGTAAGCCTTTAGGGGTTGTAATGTTTAAGGTGGTTATTTTTCGGTAGTAAAATAAACTACGGAATTGGTTATTTAAACTTATTTATGATAGTCTTATCTGTAGTAAAGTATCGATCCTCTATATGAGTACAATTAAAACGATTTTACATACCGTTACTTACTCACTGGTATTAAAAGAGAGAAATACGGTACATACTGCAAACATTTGTTTAATTTTTATATTAAAATTATTCTCTGTAGTGACATAAGTTGAATACTACCTGTAGGTATATATATATTCAACGATACTACTTACTCTTGTCGTTAATGCAGTTAAAGGGACCTTGAAATAAAATAAACATTAACATAGGGGAACATCTTTTAGAAAAAGGTATAAAAAAAGGTATATGATATACCTTTCTAGTATATCATCCTACCAGCTGCAATTTCCATGATGGGGAAAGGATAAGCTTAATCGCTATCACCTTCTTATAAGAGTACTGTGTCAAAGGGGAATTTAATTCTTAGGAGGGGGTTTGAGTGTTCCTTCGGTAGTTTTAACCACAAGTACAGTGTGCAATTAGAACTGGGCTAATATGAAGATAAATACACCGTGATAGACGTAGTGCCAGACATTCTTGGCTGCGAAAACTACAATCAACCTAATTAAATGGCCTTCCAATGAACATCTTGATCAATGCTCCGATTGAACATGTTCTGATTCCGGCGGTGAATGTAAATTTGGAAAAGGTCAGGAGCTAATACTACATTTCACAGCTACGCGGCGCGTCGCGCTATATTGTGTGATATGCTTAGGAACAAATCGAGGAATCATTTGCAAAAAATGTTTTAACCATGATGGAAAAAATATTAGTATGTAAATATATTATAGACATTTCCAATTTCTTTGTAGGTTTTATACATGGATCAAACAGTCATTTTATCATACTAATGGATTTGGATTCGGCGAATAAAAGACCGAATATAGAAAACTGTTCGTCTTTCTTTGTATATTTTACTCCTATACCCACTGAGGGAGACTGTCGTCTACTTATTCATAAGTTATTTTAATCACACGTTTTCATTACCAACTGAAAATATAAAAAATCCTAAATTTTGTTCACTAAAATGTTTTAAAAAGGTAAACAAATGAAAACCTATAGGTGTGTTACCTGCCAAGTGATTGAGTTTCAGATTTTACGAACGAAACGGGTTCAATTCCCAGCTTAGCCAAATATATGTGGGGTTTGGACGGATTTTCTTCAAAAATGTTTTTGATTCTTTAATACAAAATTCTTTGTTGTAAACAGCAGTTCAAAAACATCAAGAATTAATCAGTTTCACTATTTAGTATTAGGTGATACTATAATTTAGAGTTCTGTGTTTCACCAATGTCTATGAGTTACGTGAAATGTCATTTTTATATTAAAGCTGTATTTTTAGAATAAATATAGACGTAGTTGAATCAAATGCAATGTAAATTACTTATCTGACTCAAAATGCCTCCTATTTTCCAAGCAACTGTGAAGGGACACAGCTCATTGTCAACCCTAGCGTATTATAGGTCACATCAACTACAGTATCATGATACCAACAGAGAGAAAAATTTAATTTTAAAGTGCAGTAGACGTTAGATTGTATAATGCAGCATACAAACGTCAATGGTACTCTTTATTTGACTGGCAAGCGTAGTCTCAACAGTTCAACGTTTGATCGACCTCGTGAGTGTTATGACTCCCGCCATTTATAATTCCCGCCGTTTATGACCGCAATCGACAGACAGATGACAGAACGCGCGTCGCTGACGGCTGTGTGATATAAATAGCTCGGCTGACATCACAGACATACACACACACTCGTGCCACGGTAATGTCACTCGCACTTCCTCATTGTATTTCCCACGCCTCTCATTGTTTACCACGTTTTCTAGGTGGAGATAAGATTTCGATTAGCGATTGTTTACTAGGTGTGTCACAGTGCGGGTTAAACATGTGTTGGTTTTGTGTAAACCTATATAAGATGTAAGTGTAATGGTGGAAAACCTCATGGCTACCTTTTGCCAGTATAGGGCGTTGTGAATGTAGTAATTAACCGCTTCTACATGTGGTCCAAAGTCCAAATATCTTGAACTAGTTAGGACGTGCGGGGATCGACCTATCCCGCTCGAACCGAAGTCCGAGATGGTACCATTTGGTTAGAAACACACCGAACTTAGAATCTTCTCTTGAATTGTGTTTAAAATTGATCTCACCTGAGTTTCAATTGTTCTGTCTTGAAATTCATCGAAAACTGCGTTCAAAACCGAGGAATTAAATTAAAAATTATTTTCTTCAAAATGATTATAAGAGGCGAGTGCAGATATTAGGCTAGTATTGTAATTTGCTAACATTCTAAACGGACAAATCTTTAAACTATCATATACCTTAGGCTTCAACTCTTCTAAAATACCTTGGCTCAGTCTCCAGTCTCTGAACACTCTACAATAGTAACATTTCTTACATACTCACTCTAGATCAAGTAACCTGACCTACTTCATTCTGTTTTTCATTGTAATAGCTTATTATTTTAAGAATACATTAACATTCTACTGGCATTTTCAACCCTCCTTCTACACAATCTTAGCCCCTCATTTTTTCCAAGCTCACATTTAAGAATTATTAACTAAAATATATAATTTCATTAACCCCACTGTTTATACACACAATATTTTACTAATCAAAATATTTAAAAACTACGTCGTTAAGTTTATTTAGTTTTTTTATAACGAAATATTAAACAAAGCCTACGTGGGATAGAAAAATGCAATATTACAAAAATAGGTTGCATCACGAAAATATGACAAAGTAGATTAATTAAGGTTCTATAAATAAACCGAGCCAATAAGGAAGATCTCTGACTTAAAATACGAAAGATTCTATTTTAAATCCAAACAAGATAAGATTTCTTCTATATTACAAAGCTAAAATTAGTAGGTGCGTTTGTCTTTGGCAGGCCGCACCTACAAACAATTCATACTTGTAAGCACAAGTGTAAAGTGACGTGTAATGTTTTGTAATAGAAGGAATACGAGAAAGGCCTAATATAAAACTCCGAAAGGACATGTGTAAATTGTTGCTGAATCGTAGTTCTCAACTTCTGCTTCGTAATTTTTAAGCACTTACTTGTCAATTATACTTTTCTAATTAAGGCTAAAGAGGTCCTGTGCTATATACTAGACTTAGTGACAACATTGACTATTTATCTCATGGAATCTTTGCGATACCTAACTACTGTAAAAGTACAAGTTGGATAGCTAAGTGGTCATAGTGTATGAACAACAATCAGATCACTGGTTATATCCAGAGAAATTCCTATTTTAATTCCACTCCTGACCATCGCTATGGTGTTTCAGGGCAGCTGAGAGGTATATCCCTGACGGGGGCCATCAGGGTGCCAGGCCCCGACGACCCGGTAGACCCCAACATCAGTTTTGACGAGGAGGGCCCCGACAAGTTCCCCGCCTTCGGACTCCTCCCGGGGGCCAATGTCTCCACTTCCTACTCCTCGTACCTCCCGGACACCATGACCGCCCCCCTGGCAGTCACCGCCACGGCCAGGATCCGCGGTGGAGGCGGTGGTTACCTCTTCGCCGTTGTCGACCCGAGCAATCAGGTAAGATGTGATTCAAGAGGTATAAGGGAGGAACAAGCGGGACACAGTAGATAATGGTCACAGTGAATATCCATACATAGTCATTATCAGTGAAGTTAGAGTGCATACCAATAATTTTGTGTTAACATCAATATCAATATGATGATGATGATGTTAATGTTTACCGTATAACTGTCATTGAGTATTCGATGTTGAATAGGAACTGGAAGAGTACTATGCATTTTACTAGAAAGTTGCCGAAGGCCTAGGTAATTTTATGATAGGTTATGATTGAATATAAACACTATTCTCACCATTATTACAGTTTTTCGGACATCTTGTTATGGTGGCTAGTGCTGAGTAGAAGAAAAGAACGGATGGATCACGACAGTTTACTCTGTGATGTACAGAAAGACTTGTGCCCATACTTGTTTTATCATATGTTTAAAAATTTAAGTGCAGAAGATATATTATGTTTAAAACATTTACTTAGAAAATTATGTAATTTCATCTCACCATGGAATAAAGAGAGAGGCCAATGAACAATTGTATGTAATACTGTACATTTCTTCGCTTAACAAACATTATAAATTACAATGTAAAAACATCAGGTTTGTTTACACTTGTAGGTGACGGCAATTTCGTAAGTTAAACGGATTATTGTGGATATTTTTTTATTAAAGATTAGTAAAACAAACGTTTCACAACATTTTTAAATCAGAAATCTGATCCTGTTTTCTGATGGAAAGACACCTAAAACTTGAAATTATTAGCTCATAAACGACAGTGTAGGGTAACACAATTGCAAAGATAAACAAAATATTGATCCCATTCGAATACAACATGAAGAAAACGAACAAAAAGCATTACCGGTATTTACTCAAGCTATGTTCATGACCGGTGCAATCTTCCCACCTTAATGGAGTCAAAATGAAAATCCCGGCCGGTCGTAAAATGTATATTTTGACTGGTCAGTGATGGAAAATGTAGTATTTATGTATTTATTTCATAAATATTAAATTCTTGTCCGTCTTCTTAAAGTTTTCAACACGAATTTTAGAATAAATGAGTCTCACTTTTTTATCTCCAGTTTTTATTCTTCCTAACCATCTTGTATCGTCTGGAATTGCATAGTTAAATACAACACCTCTCCAAGACGACGCGGTTGCCCCAGGCTATACCGTGGTAGATGCTATCGCCATGCTAATATAATAACTTATTTAGTCTCCACCGCATCATCACATATCTAGCCTCTAGCCGTGGTTACCTCTAGTGCTCTAGCGCTGGCTATTGTTACTGACCATAGAGTGTGTGTGGTTTTATTACCAGTGTATTGTGTCAGAAGATTTACTACTCACTGTTGGTCTGTTGGTATGCATGGGAGCCTATAAAAACCAAGAGTTTAGTTTGATCTTTCATGATGGTAGGTGATGGGAACTAGAGAATTACGATTGTAAATAAGCGTGATAGACAAAACTATGTACAGTAAAACGTTCAGATTGAGCTCGATACAGCCACTAGCGCATCTTTATACTTACTTTAATACTTTCTTATTAAATGGCGACCATACAAAGTAGGTATTTTAAGCCAAGTATGAATGGAGATGAGTGTAGGATGAGTGGCGCGGTCTTGTAGTCTTGTTAGTGACTAAGGCGCTTAGTCTATGCTAAGGCCGACATATATTCCTTTGCTAACCACATCGACCTTAAAGGTGAAAGCTAATTCCGCTGATACCAACACATATTGTTGTTCAGTAACAGTTGTTACTTGTTCCTGTTTGTAGTTACAAAACAGCTCATTATAATTAATTGTGTTTCACAGGTTGTACAGTTCAGTCTGCAGGTCACTCCCAGAGACCAGAACACGTCAGAGATCGCTCTCTACCTGGGCGACTCCTCGGGTCCCCTGGCCAGCTTCGCGGTTCCCTCGGACTTCGCCGTGTGGACCAGGGTAGGCCTGGCGGTTACAGACACCTCCGTCTCGTTGTTCTTCAACTGCCAGCTGTCCGCGACGGTACCAGTACCACGGCCTCCACAAGTGACGTTCGTCCCGGGGTCTACCCTGTACGTCGGCCAGGCGGGTCCAGCACTCGGCGGCCATCTAGATGTGAGTACATTGTAGATGTCTAATGGTTATTACTCTAGTTTGTTGTGTGGGTGTACTTTAGCTTTTGTAAATACAAATATTTTATTCATTGGTTTTGATACGTTTTTAAGTAAGACTAGGTGTAATTTAGGAGATTTTACCACCATTAAGATGTAGTATAGTTTAATCACTCCTCATGATAAAGAACTTTGTAAATTATATATATGTGTATTGTGTAATGTGTGTGTAGTGGTTAATATATTTGGTTATAATCAAGGTTATCTAGCTCTCTGAGTTGTTTGAATAAACAAACAAACCTTTGGCAACAAAGGAAAAAAAACTGCAAACAGTTGCAGGTAAGACATTTGCATAACGAATGTATAGGCCTTACAAACAGGTGTAGAGATTTAAAAGGGAAAAATATAAGTTCAAGTATCCAAATGCCAATATTGTTTTCTACTTTTTAATTAATTTCTATCTAATTTTAATTTCAATAAATTATCTTTAATTATTTCGTTTCAACGAACCCCAGTAGTTTTACTTTTTAATACTATCAATTAGCTGATGGAATTATTACACAAAACAGGATAATTACCATATTTTCTAAACGATAAAGTTATGAGTCAGCTGTTTTGGAATGTACGTATTACACGATGCAGCGTTAACTTTCTGTTTTCGAGACAAAACACAAATCGTGTCGGCGAGCATCCAAGGAGCCGTGAAATTGGACATTATTGCTGTTGTTGCGCCGTGTAACTCGCACAGCCACCAACGGGTGTTGAGATTTCGAAGCGAGTACAAAAATCGGCTTGAAAATTTGAAAAGTTGAAGATGTAATTTTTTTACAATGATTTTCGTTATACTCCAGCGAAAATTGCTATTTTGTGGGGCTAAAGAAGTGCTTTTACACCCTACGCAGAAAAAAAGTGATTCGAACACATCAAATTTATGTTTTAAAATTTAAATTTCATTATATTGATTTTGCAGAAGAAAATAGTAACGGTTGATAAGTATTTTACCGCTGTAAAAAATATTTTGTGATAATTATCGTTGGACATAGTAACTTTTACTAAATTAATAGCATCTAAGATTATCCCTTTATTGACATTTAGACCAATTAGAAGAATTTAAATTTGTTTTTGCCTAGGTGAGGTCACACGTGTTACTACTAAATGAGGGTATCGACAATTTTTATAAAATACGTTGTCGTGGAGATTCCCAATTGTTTGACTAGGCTAGGCTTATTATCATCATTGATTTGGGTTGATTGAGTCAACCATCCTGTTTATACATTGGCACCCGGATTGAATTTCTTTGTCACTGTAACAAATTTATATTGAAAATGTAACACAGAATTGCATGCATTTCCTCGTAAGCGTTGTAGATTTACAAAGAAAAATCACTTTATTGAGTAGCGGGAGTGCTTAGAAAATATAAGGGGATTTCATCCATGAAATTGGAAATTTCAGCGTCGATAGTGCAGCGTGCGGGGCTTAGGAGAGCTCAGAAATAAATTTGTCTCTTGGAAATGCTAAAGGGTATTTGTTTTAGTAGACAGTTTTACAAAAGTATAAAATCGAAATTATTTTTGTCACAAGACTTTGGCTTTGAATTCGAATTTGGATTCGTGTCTAATTCTAAACGACGCTCTTCCTTTTTTCCTTTATTTGTTACATTTTTGAAAAGTATCTCTACAGTTCGTTTCCGTGCAAAACGATTAAGAAATCGCCTTTTGCAACATGGCCGAAAACAATTTCCAACGTTTATTATAACAAAGAAGTATGTATTGAAAATGCAATACACATGCCGTTGTGAGATTTAAATATCCAAAATAGAAAAATTTAGATTTTAGAATATTTTTTACACTCTATTCATCTTCATGGGTTTATGAAACTCCTTCATATTAACTTTGTTTGCTCGGCAGCAGAGGTGTGATATTGCATAGGCAATGTAGCAGGCGTTTTGCCTCTGTGTTTGGAGCAAAACTATTCGAGTTGTGTAGATTTCTTGTTTGAATTAATTACATCAAATCTAATCTATTCATTGACTCTTCGGAATAAAAAAACCCGGATTTACCATAAAAGTGACGCCAGTCAATGAATTCGCCGGTTGTAAATTGAAGTTGTATAGGGAGGACATATTTTTGGACATGTATTGTTTCGAGGACATATTTTTTTATCGATAAACAATTAACAGTGTGAAATAAATTTTAAATTCTACAGATACATCCCTGAATAACGAAAAATAAATTATTGAGACTGTTTTTAAAAATAAGTGATTTCGAAAATCAGGATGAGAAGATAAACATGACTGAAGAATAGAAAATACAAACCTGAAGAATTAAATCATACCTCCGATAACGAGGAAGAACGTTGGTTCTATAAATAATTAAATTGTACATGGAAAGCCGGCGATTCCGGAGTTTTATATCTGTTCTGGCAATCCTTTAATGGGATTTGATGTAGGATCGTGCGATATTTTACTGTAGTAATTCGTACTGGGAAGGTGAACGGGTGAAATGATTTATAGATACACATTTCCTATTCCAAAATATAAGTTAATTAAAAACAAGAACGGAATTTTTATAATTTTAAAAGTAATTGTAAAAAAACGTGAAATCTAAGAAAAAAAACGAGCAAAACCTTTTCAAATTTGTTTATAAAGAAAGTAATTATTATTATTATTAAATAAATACCGTGAGATTTCGAACAGCACATACAACTTGCAATACCTCGGTGACAAATAGGCTAAAAATAGCCCATGCAAATCGTTTAACTTATTATTATTATTCATAGATAAAACATTGGATTGAAAATGTTTAACGAAACAGAGAAAACTCCTTGCTTGAGGGAAGATACCCTACTAAACCCAATGGCACTAATGAAAAGATCGAATTTGTTATTAAAGCCAGTCAAATAGGATGTTAGTTTACACGTTGAATTAAAATTTAATCAACATGTGACAGTTATTAAAATAGTTCTAGTGACGTTAGTTTATGGAGCCCTAAGCGTAAAAGTACATAGGTCTCGGACCTAAGACATACTACGAATAATTAGTATTAATCACTTCTATAAGGAAATATTTGCGGAAACTTATAATAATTGTCGACCCCTTGCCTAATAGTCGAAGGTGATATAAGAGCCTACACTCAAAACCATCTTCACAAGACTTTTCTATGATCAAATCCAAGGATTATTGTCTGATGGCGAATGTTGGATGCCACAAATTGGTTTGACCATCGCAACGTAACGTATCAGATTATGGTCGGTCTACCATCCAGCCACGAAATCTCAATTGATTGATTGATACAATAATTTGTGTAGTTTTTCTGTAAGAATAATATCAAGGGAATAAGTATGTTTGAAAAATGGGAAACTTCACAATTCGCTACTTAATGGTTTATCCTAATCCTAATACGTATAATTAGATGTTAAACATGTACCGGCTTACCTTCTAAAAAGAGTCATGTTTTTAAATTCTTTAGGTCACTCTAAATTATTTTGACGATTAACATGTTACGTGTTGCTGGCATTGTATGAATTTACATTTTCTTGCATTGATAATGAGGTGGATATAATCTACAGCTACATATATATATTTATTTTAAAGTCTGTTCTTGGTCCACACAACTCTTTTGAAAGCTTAAGCCCTACGCATGAACATGTAGCAGCTATTACTGTATTAACTATAACTACCACAATGAGAACACTGCTTCGCACTCGACTATGTCTGCTTCTCCAGGGCTCTTAGTCTGTGATTAATTGCATAGTTTTATCACTGACCTTTCACCTTTGTAACGTTAATGCCGGCTTTAAACATCAAACATTACTTTAACATATGATCCCGAGTTATAAATGAAGACTTTCGTAAACACAGGTATTCATTTTATTGTGTACTAAAATAACATGCGGCTGTATATTGTTCGAGTGGGTAAAACTTCACTTCAAACCATATGGTAAGCAGAACTATTTTGATTGGAACAAAACATTTAAATCCCTAGGCCTATAATATAATTGGGATTGATTTGTAACATTATTAAGATATATCAGATACTTGATTACTTCTAAAGTTTTTCCAGAGTTTTAAAACAAGTAAAAATTGTTAAACTGGAAGTACAATAAACACCAGCTAATGCATTGTAATTCAATCAAAAATAACCATAAAGAAATAAGGTTCAATTAAAAGACACCAAAACATTATATTTTTATTGTGTAATAAAACAATAAAGTTGTATATTATTTTGTAATATAAGAAATATTGTTTCAATATAACACGAAGGGAGGAAGAGAGGGAAATATAGTGTCTCAAGACTGGATATCGTCGATATTTTCTCTTTTTCAAGAGATCGGAAGGATAAAGTAAAAGCTTTCTGTATAAAGATAAAGAGCTTTTATAAGGATGTTATTGTTTAGTAAACGTTTTCTAGAGTGTAAAAAATGTATTCAGGAGACTTCTGTCCAACGGGAAACTATTTGTCAAATATGTTGTTATAAAAATCGTGTGGCTTCTACTGTTGTGAGTTCTTCAATATAAATTTATGCCTGATTGAGGGACTATTTTATGTTAGTTATCTAAATAGGCAGACCCTCTGCGTAAGGTGTATTCTGTACTGCCAATTCAATGAGTTATAACATAGCCAAAATAATTTAGTGAATAACAGGATTCGTACCCGTTTCTCTGGGACTATAGAGTCTCACTAACCTATAGACTAAATAATAGACTAAATAATAGTCCCTTAAAAATATTTCTAGATGACAATCGCTATGTAGTCGAGTTTTTGATTAGCTAAGGTTTGTAATTTTTTACATTTTGCTATATTTATATTGCTATATTGGCTATATTTTAAATGCTACGCAAACTAGAATATAGGCTGGATATTTGTGATATACCTGTACAATGTATATATGCTAGTGATCATATTGATACAATTGAAAACGACTCAATCGTCTTATTAGTGGAAAATACATGTTTGATAATAAATCATCTCTATATTAAGTAGACTATTAGATGGATTTCGTTTC